AGGATCTCTTGAGCCTAGGAGTCTGAGGTTGCTGTTACCTTAACTTTGGTGGTAGTAATTGGGTGGGTGAAGGGACAGGGTTGGATAGTATTTTGTATTGTATAAATTTTGATGTTTTAAAGTTTTTGAATAATGTAACCATATTGCCCATTCAAAAATTAAAATTTTTAAAAATGTTCCTAGCCGGGCACTGTGGCTCATGCCTGTAATCCTAGCACTTTGGGAGGCCAAGGCGGGTGGATTACATGAATTCACGGATTTGAGACCAGCCTGAGCAAGAGCAAGATTCTGTCTCTAAAAAATAGCTGGTTGCTGTGGCAGGCACCTGTAGTCTCAGCTACTTGGAAGGCTGAGGCAAGAGAATTGCTTAAGCCCAAGAGTTTGAGGTTGCTGTGAGCTAGGACACTACAGCACTCTATCCAGGACAACAAAGTAAAACTCTGTCTCAAAAAAAAAAAAAAAAGAAAGAAAAGGAAAAAGTAAACAATGTTCTTAGAGCTTCTACCCACTGGTGCCACCTCAAGGCTGTGCATCCACTGGGGCTGTTCTGACCCTTTCCCATGTAGCAAGACTGCAGCAGTCCGTAGAGAGGGCGCCTCAGGTAATATACACCTGCTTGCTATCACTGTTGCTTACAACACATGGTTCTCACCACCTCGTCACCCTTCCCGGTGCTAGTCATGAGTGCCATTCACCAGATATTTCTACTTCTCTGCCTCTGGACACATGTTAGGATGACACACCCTATCTCCTAGTAACTGGATGAAGCTGTGATTAGTTCTGCCCAATGAAGTATGAAAAGCAATGAGTATCATTTCTGGAACAAAAAATTTAATTACCAGTGTTAGACTCTCCAGAGCTCTTTTCTTTTGAGCCACAGTTACTAGCAAAATTCTAGACAGTGGCTGCTATGACCCTGGGTCCTGGAGTAAGGATGACGAAGGGCAGGTCCCCCAAGTCAGCCCACAATGGAACATAAAAAGACATAAAGCTTTACTGCTTGAAACCACTGCGATGTGGGAGCTGTTTGTCTCTGTAGCACAGCCTGCCGCATCCCGACTGACACAGGCACTGAGAGTGCCACACACCAAGTACGGGTGACTGTAACTGCCCCTGAGCCCAGGGCAATGGGGCAGGAATGAGTGCTCGCTGGCCATTCTACTCACACCACCAGCTCAATGATGCCCTGGATCTCCTGCTGCAGCTCTGGCTCCTTCCGGTAAGCCTCCACCAGCAGCAAGGCCTGGTCATAGCTGGCACAGTAGACCTTATAGACTTCCTCCAACTCCTCTTTGAATTCCAGGAATAAGCGACCTGAGATGAAACACACAGGAATTATCAAGGGCGTGTCTGCATGTTCCTGTGCTTGGAACAGGGAGATGGGAAGCGAGCTCCTCCAGCTCTGCAGTGAGACCACCAGGCTTAACCAATGGGTCACCGTGGGCAAGTTACCTCCACTTCCTGACTTTCCGTTTTTTCATTTCAGTTTCATAAGGTTGCTGTGAGGACTGAGTGACAGAATGATGGACAACGCAGGCTGGTACTGTGAGCACTTAATAAATGGTAGCTATAATCATACCAATAATGCTAATAATGCTCACATTTGGAAAGTGCTTTATAGCAGTGGTCCCCAACCTTTTTGATACCAGGGATTGGTTGCATGGAAGATAATTTTTCCACACACTAGGGGGTGGAACCGTGTATGGTGTCCAGATGATTCAAGCACATAACATCTTCAGATCATCAGGCATTAGATTCTCACAGGGGGCATGCAATCCACAACCTAGATCCCTGGTACATGCAGTTTATAGTAGGGTTCGCACTCCTATGAGAATTTAATGCCACCATTTACCTGATAGGAGGCAGAGCTCAGGCAGTGAATGAGTGATGAGGAGTGTCTGATACAACTAGGGCAGAGTAGCCTGGAGGTATGGGCCTATTCTCTGTAATGCCAGAGCCCAGGCATGTAAGCGCCTATGGTAGGCTGCAGCATTACCTGCTAGCCACTGCTCACCTTCTGCTGTACAGACTGGTTCATGAACTGATAGTTGCGAACCATAGCTTTAAAGTATACAAAATACACTCATAACCATTACCTTATTTTATCTTTCCTGTTAGTTGTGCAACTACAGGCCTCTATAACTATAAACCACTGTAGAAGGACATGCTGCAGCCTACCACGGGCGCTTAAAAGCCTGGGCTCTAGCATTACAGAGAATAGGCTCTAGCATTACATTAGAGAATAGGCTCATACCTCCAGGCTACTCTGCCCTAGTTGTATAACCTGGGGCAAGCATTTGACCCTTTGGACCCTCCATTTTTTCTTTTTCTTCTTTTTTAAAAGATTTTTTTATTAAATCATAGCTGTGTACATTAATGCAATCACAGGGTACAGTGTGGTATTTTCATATACATTTTTAAATACTCTCAGCAAACCCTCCATTTTTTCATCTATAAAATGGGAATAAAAACAATACTCATCTCCAAGTGTTTTTGGTGAGGATTAAGTGAAATAATGCACACAGAGCATCTGACACAAACCTCATGCACAAAACATTTGCCAACTGCTTATTTATTGGCTATGTGCCAGGCATGCTGCTAAGCTCTGTGAACAAAACAAAGTTCCTATCTCATGAGTTCATATTCTGGTGGAGAAGGCAGACAATAAGCAAATATATTACATATATAAAGTATAAAAGGGCCATGAATTAAAATGAAGCCAAAGAAAGAGTCAGAGAGAGGTGAGGGATCTACTTGTGGATGGCCTCTAGGAAGATGTGAATGTCCGTCAGGGACCAGAGGCAACCAGCCCTGGAAACATCCTGGGGAAGAGCAGCACTCCAAGGCCTAGGGAAGGGTAACCACAAAAGGCCCTGAGGCAGGAGGGTGCTTGGCATGAGGGCAAGAGCAAGAGAAAACAGGAAACAGGAGCCTAACCACACGAGGCCTCAAAGTAAGTGAGGTGCATTAGGATCCTCAGAATTTATCCTGATAATGGCAGGAAACAACTGGGGGCTTTGAGCAAGGGTGATTTGATTTCTGCTTAAAAGACTCACTCTCGTGCTCAGCAGCACGTGCACTAAAGTTGGAATAGTACAGAGACAATTAGCACAGCCCCTATGCAAAAATGACATGCAAATTCATGACATGTTCCATATGGTCAAATCAGAAACAAATGAGATTTGTTGCCTATAGGGGTGAATCAGACGGGATGGGGAGGACAAAGGGCTGGCATGGCCCAGAGGGATTCATTGCAGCAAGGAATCCTGGAATGCTGGATTGGAACTAGAAGAGAGGGGAACAATGCCTTGCTGGAAATACCTTTCTACATAGTTCCAACATACTCCCAAAATAAGTACACTATTACCATTAATGAAGATGTGGAAGGGGAACCCCAAATGGAATACAAACTGTAAGGAATGAACCTGACTCCATTGCAGATGAATAGCTTAACCACGCTATTAAGGGAGCCAGAGGAAACTGACATAAGGAACTGTTTTTCACAAGTGTACAAGCCAATAAATTCAGAAACTACTTCCTGTGTATACTAACTTTCAACAAATAAGTATGTATATTGTGTCTCTCTCACCTTCTCTCCCTTATGAGAGGGACCCACTTCCATCTCTCTGGAAGTGCTCTAAATTTTCTCTTTGTTCTTCCTAAATAAAATAACTCTTTGTTAAAAAAAAAAAAATACATGTAGTGGATAATGACAGCTAGGTTTCTCCTATCTGAGAAAATGTTACAAATAAAAAAAGCCGGGAGAGGGGAGGATGGGTGGAGGGAGAGTAATTGGTGGGACCACACCTACGGTACATCTTACAAGCGTACCTGTTTACTAGGTGTAGAATATAAATGTCTTAACACAATAAATAAGAAAATGCCGTGAAGGCTATGTTGACCAGTTTGATGAAAGCATTTCAAATTGTAGGTAAAACCAGCACATTGTACCCCATTATTGCATTAATGTACACAGCTATGATTTAATTAATTAAAAAAAAGAAAGAAATGAAAGCGGGGAGACTGGAATGAATCCTGCAATTCTGGATTGGAACTGAAGCTGTCAATGTGAGATCTTGGTTTTAAACATATACATATGCGCAGATGGATAGATCTAGAGAGAAAGGTAGGCGTGTGTATATGCATGTGTTAGTATACATACATATATTTCATAGCTCTATTAGCTGAAAGCCAGGCATCATTTTTGCAGGGAACAACCACTGAAGAATATTAAAATTAATAGGATATTTGCATAATATCACACTTTCTCTCCATAAGACATTCATTCATTACAAAGAAAAATTAGTAGCTTGACAGGATGAAAACCCTAGGTACCACCTTAGCTATGTAATCAAACTGAACATTACCCTAAGTACTAAGATATAGTGACACCAGGTGCCCCTGATATGCTGTGCAGGAAAGGATGTGACAGCGAGTCTGTGATTTTCTTGCCAAAAATGCATAACCACAACTTAATAATGAAAATAATTGTACATTTATAAATTATATAAATTGTGATAACATATAAACATTTTATTTTATAAGATGTTTCTATGTAAAATTTTACAAAATATGTAAAATATGAATTCTAATGTTAATGAAAAGGCTTAAGCTGAGGGCTATTCTACAAAATATCTTCAGAATTGCTATGGTCATGAAAAATAAAGACTGCGGAATTGGCACAGACCGGACAAGACTAAGGGAATATGACAATAAAGTGAAATGTTCTATACTGGAGTGGATCCTGGACCAGAAAAAGGACATAAATAGGAAAACTGATGAAATTTGAATAAGGTCTACAGAGTAGCTAATAGCACTGCATTGATGTTACCTTCCTGGTTTCCATAATTACACTACGAATATGTAAGATACTAAAATTAGGGGAAGCTGGATGAAGGGTAGACAGGAGCTCTCTGCATTTTTTACAACTTTTTGGTAAGTCTAAAATCATTTCAAAATAAAAAGTTTGAAAAGAACCTTGAAAACATGATGGTAAATGAAGTAAGCCAGGCACAAGAGGATACGTAATTGTATGATTACACATATATGAGATACGTAGAATAGTCATATTCATAGAGACAGAATACTGGTTACCAGAGACAGGGTAGGGTTTAGTGGGCAGAGTTTCGCTTTAGGGTGATGAAAAAGTTCTGGTGATGGAAAGTGGTGATGGTCTCACAACAATGTGAATGTACTTAGAGCCACTGAACGGCACGCTTAAAAATGGTGGAAATGGTAAGTTTTATGCTATGTCTGTACATTTTACTAAAATGAAAAGGGGTTTTAAAAAATCAAAAACCTGCACATGAAGGTTTATAGCACCTTTATCCATAATTGCTAAAACTTGGAAGCAATCAATTTGTCCTTCAATAGGACAAACGGTGAATGGACAAATTAGCTGTGCTTTATCCATGCAACAGAAGATTTTTCAGTGATTAAAACTGAAATGGGCTATCAACCCCCGAAAAGACATGGAAGAAACTCCAATGGATAGTGTTAGATGAAAGAAATCACTCTGGAAAGGCTATGTACTGTGTGGCTTCAACTATGTGACATTCTGGAAAGGGCAAAACTGTAGGGACAGTAGAAAGATCAGTGGCTGCCAGGGAAAAGGAGGGAGGGATGGACAGAGCACAGGGATTTTCAGAGCAGGGAAACAATCATGTAAGATACTGTAATGGTGGATACATAACACAGACAGGCCTAAACCCACAGAACTATACAGACATGTAAGCTATAGACTTTAGTTGACAATAATATAGCATCATTCATTCATCAATTATAATAAATGCACCTCATCAATGCAAGATGTTAATAACAGGGCAAATGAGTAAACTCTGGGAGTG